TACTTCTAGAAACAGTTGAGAAAAGCAAATCCCCCTTTGAGTATTGAACAGTTTTAGCATTTGTTTCAACTTCCAGCCATTTGCTCAATTTATTAGGAGCTTCTTCAAAGACATAAAATAGCAACGTATCACCTTCAATGCTGTAGAAAGAAAGAAACGCAGAAATGTTGCCAATTCATGCTAACTCTGTTGTAGACAAGCAGAAAGCATTGGAAGGCATTACACTATATGGAATACTGCCTACAGATTTAATAGAAACCTACAAACGTGTTCGGCTCCGAAATATTTCACTCTGTTCATCACAGCTACATGAAAATATTCATAATAAATATAAAGCAAGGCCAAACACAGTGTGTGCCTAATGTAAACTGGAAAGTAAAAATTGGTAATAGACTTAAATATTACTAACTGTATATTTTTTTTATATACCATACAGTACAGTACTTCTTTAAATAAGATTTTTATGAGCTCTGCAGACCTCACTACAATCAGACCTAATGCACTGAGCATCTTGGAGCTCAACTGTTCCATGTGTGATATAATGAGCATGATAAATGTATGTAAGCAACCAGAGAAAAAGTGAGAACTGCAGAATCATCTAGGTTGGAAAAGACCTTCAAGATCATCAAGTTCAACCATCAACCTGAGCCATGCAATCCACCACTAAACTGTTCTCCTCAGTGCAATGTTCACATCTCTCCAAGGGTGGGACTGAACCACTTGCATGGACAGCCCATTCCAATGCTTGACCATCCTCTCCATGAAGAAACTCTTCCTAATACCCGATCAGAACCTCCTGTGGCACACCTTGAAACCACATATTCACATCCTATCACTTGTCATCGGAGAAGAGAATGACTTCCTGCTATCTCTTTGAAGTACTTATAGACACTGATGAGGTCTCCCATCAGCGTCCTCTTCTGAAGACTAAATAACACTAATTCCATTGGTCATTCCTCATAAATCTAGTTTTCATCAGCCTTGTTGCTCTTCATTGTAAATGCCTCAGTAACTCAAAATCCTTCTTCTTGTGAAGGACCCAAGACTGAACACAATATTTGAGATGTCTTGCTAGAAACAGTAATTAAGAAAAACAGAAATAACACATGGTTATCATCTTTTCCTGTTTCATCTTTTTTTCAGAAAAAGGAAGAAAAATGTATTACGAAGAATAGCCACAAAATCCTTTTTTTGTGAGTGTGTAGCAGAACTAATAAAAAGTAATTGTTAATGTTCCAGCTGAATGCTATAAAATGATGAAAGTATGTTTTACTAAATACTAGTATAGCAGAGTTGGTATTTTTCAGCTGCGTAGGAGTATTTTATAGAGCTCAACATCGAGAATACAGAGACCTATACGCTTCAATAAAGTGAAAAAGATACGTGTATTTATATATCTTTGAGTTATATGTGTGTCTGAAGAACATAAGATTGGAGAAAAGAATTAGAAATTCAAAAAATCAGAGCAGAGATTTCATACATAGCCCAAGCACACAGGATGACCTTTGCACAGCACTCCACAACACAGGTCCTGGAAATAGGTATACTTACCCTGTGAAGCTTAAGTTTTAGTACAAAAATTTCACAGTGTTCAGTAACGTCTTTTGATACTTCCTGAACCCTACATAGGGACTACTAGGACATGAATAACCCTTTTCAATGCCAACTTGCCACTGTGATAAAAAGTATACTTTAATTGCAGATCTAGTGCCTGATCTAGTGGTTGGTGAACCTGCACACGGCAGGGAGGTTGAAACTAGATGATCATTATGGTCTTTTTCAAACCAGGCCACTCTATGACTCTATGGTACTATGATCTAGTTTTAGTAATGAGTCCTCAGATTTCAAATCAAGATTTTGTCAACATGCCTCTGACAAAGAGACATGTATCAGATTACTGTGTAGGGAATCTCAATCATTTGCCTTGGGATCAGGCTCTCTTTTGTTTAGCAGTACAGTCATGCTAGGGCTCTGGATTGCAGTAAGGGAACTGTTCAAATGGACATGTGAAATTACTGCTTTTAAGTAGATTAGTCTGCACCTTTGCAGTGAAATTTTGAATTAGCAATTCAAGAGAGATTGCTGTTTGGAGACAGTTCTGTAACTAAGAGGGCTGCTCTGAAAGTAATGCCTCCTATGCTATTATATTGGCCGACAAAGTCAAAGGGAGATGGTGGTGGTAGAGGCTGAACCTTCCCGACACTACTCTGTTACATTTTGTTTCTGTGTGACTGATGGCAGCAGAAGGGTAGTCCGACAAAATGGCGTCTGAGATGGAAGTGTGTAGGATGCAAAAGTGTGTCACTGAATTCTTCCGTGCAGAAAAATGACATCCATTGACATTCACTGACACTTACTGAAGATTTATGGAGAACAAACAGTGGATGTGACCACAGTGAAGCAGTGGGTGGTGCATTTCAGCAATGGTGACAGTGACATGAAAAATGAGCCACCTTCTGGATAGTTATGCAGATTTTCCATGAGCAATGCATGCAGGCTCATGTTCAACACTGTTGAAAATGCATAGCTAATGGTGGTGACTATGTTGAAAAATAGTATTTTGTAAATGAGAATTTGTTCTATCAAATACTACTTTAGTAGTGACCAACATACACCACAGAGGATGCGTTCAGAATAATCTCTTTCCAGAAGACACACAATATGAATGACTACAGAGTTCAACTGTTCCTTCCATCAATTCTCTATTTTGGCCATCACTTTAAAGTTTTCATCAGTACTTCATTCTCATGTAAATAAGTAAGGGTGCTACCTGCACTGAGGCAGTCAAGGTACAACCAAGTCAGTTAACCACTGAGAGAAAGGAGAGAAAAGAGAGAAGGATCTGAAATAATATTGTCTAAGCCTGTTGATTTCATTTTTCCCAGTTCCACTGGCCAGTACAACAGACCTGCTTGTAGTTGAGAGTAGATGAGGAGGCGTGCAGGAGAACACCCTCAAAATCTTATTAAGTATATACGAAAACAGAATAGCCTCATTATTATTTCACTACATCTCTTGACAAATGAAAAAGGAAATCTATGCCTACAGCTCTAGGAAGTGAGGAGTTGAATTCTGCTTACATAAATTTATTAATACCTTTACAACTGAAGGAAAAAAAAAAAAAAAAGGGCTGTTGAAGGACTCTTATGCTCATTCCTTCATTCCTGGGATAACACCTTTCAATGTCACCTGCCAACAATTCATTCCATGTCCTACAAGACATACTGGGATAGTGGGATAGAAGCACATTCCTGTTAATTTTTGGAGACTGATAAGGATACAGCTGGTCTGTAGGCTGCTTTTACACTATCTGCCACCTTTTCCTCACAACACAGCGTGAGGCCAATAGAAAGACTTCTTCCTTCCCTGTTCAGTGTATAAACCCAACAAGCCTATCTGTAAATGAATGCTCCCTTAATTGGGCGCTGAGCTAGAATCCTATTCTGAAACTGAGATTTCTATAGTTATTTGATGCCTTTATTTAAGTAAATGAGAGTTAACATGCTTTGAATAAATAAACTAATACATAAATACATAAACAAATAAAGTTTAGGAAGCCAAATAGTCCTTGGAATAATTCAGCCAAGAAAACTGAGACAATTAAGTCTAAACTCTTTGTTTCCTCTGGGATTTTGTCACAAAACAGAGAAAGAAATTACAAATTCATTATTATGGGTGAATAGTTCTGTACTGAATACATCAACTCAGGAGAATGTCAACATATCCATTTCAAATTTGATTGAAATAATTGTAACCAGCTCTCAAGCCTAAGTAAACACATTTATGACTGATATTCTTCACTCTTATCCTTTGGAAAAAGAGAAAGCTGGGCTCAGAATGGAAACTCCATATTGCCTTTAATTACTGAGAGGTTAATACTGTTGCATGCCAAAAAATTAGGATAAACAAAGTAATTCTGCACACTGTGCCTGCAAGACTCTGAAAGAGATGCAGAGCAGCTACACAAAGCCTATGTATATGTAATGAGATGAATACCAGACTCTTCTTTTCAATATACAGTTTAGTCTATAACTAAGAGACACATTCATCAACCAAATGTTGTCAGCAACAAAACAGCTACTATCAATTCAGTAGCACATAAGCAAAACATAATTAAACAAGGTCTGGGATAAAATCAAAATAACAACCTAATATTTCTAATAGGAACATTTTTTTCCAGGAATACAATTTATTTTCCCAAGATACCCCTAACAAATTTATCCAGTCTTCTTGCCATCTTATAAGACTACAGGTATTTTTTTCTAAATACTTTACCCTTTTCCATAATACAGATGAATCAGCAGAAATACTTAAAATATATTTAAAATGAATAACATTCTCGTTATTGGTTTTGAGGATCCACCTCAAATTTTCTATCAGTAGATGAATGTGTTTCAGATAATTCTTCACAATAGGGGTAGCTGTCTTTCTTGGCAATTAATTTTTAATCACGCATTTGCGAGCAATGTTATTCTTGAATATATGTGCTGAATTGCCATACAATAAGATGGATTACAGTATTTAAAACTGCAGTAAACAAGAATATGAGAACAGATGAACCATCAGTAATTTTGCTTTGATTTATAAAACAAACACCAAAAGGTTCCTGTTCGCTGGAATATTTCGTCAACCTCAAAATCACGATTTCATTCACTGTATCTCAAACACAAACTAGAGGCAAAGATCTATACACCTACATCACTGCCACAAGCACACAAGACTGTAGCTAGAACATAATCAATCACATTTCCACCTGTAACTTAACTAAGGTATACAAACTGTATTCATATTGGCAAAGCAATGAATACATCTGAATGTGGCCTTTTTTCTACCACAATAGTGGGGAAAAGAAAAAAAAAAAAAACAAAACGAAAAAACATAAAAAGCCCCACACATTTTAAAAGGTAAGCATGCACAGAAAAAAAAAAAAGCTCTCTGAAAGTGATAAGTACGCTGAAGCACTGAGACTGTGAATCTCTGACACTGTTCACTGTACTCACCTAATATCCGTGCATGTTATACATGTGATACCGCGACTGTTTGTAGTAACGAGGTTCAAAGCCACAGATGTTTCACTGTCAGTTGTTGGGTGTGCTCCACATTTAAAGTAAAACTCCTGAAGTATTGAAAGGAGAGATAAAGAAAAGATTATGTAACTGCAGCTCATGTCCTCCCTTTATCTTAGGCTAACTGACATTTGAGACAACAGACAAATCACCACTGCCAACAGAAAAGGAGGACAATCATTAGGAATGGTTTAGAAGGAATCCCTTGCAAAAGTAGCAGTCTAGGTGCATGTTTTGTTCAGTCATTTCATAGAAAAAGAATTTTCCTTGTGAACTGATTCGATGTCAATGTTCAACCCTGTTACAATTTTGAATTTATAGAAGTGACTACCCCTTGACTTCATCTAAGCATCAAAGGCAGAGTATTATGTACATGTCCAATTTTTATTGTTGTTTTTGTTACATGTGTACATGTATGTTTTGTGTACATAATGTTTTGTTACATTATGTACATGTCCAATTTTTATTGTTGTTTTTGTTACAGATGTTACCATTTTCTGAACTTCATAGGACAAAATCTTGGCTTTAAATTAGTAAAGCCTGGCCCTGTTTTTGTGATGTTGGAAATCTACAGAATATGATTTTATTGTGATATTAAAGGGAGCTCTCTCAAGACACATGTTAAATTTGCAATTATTGAATTACAGAATGGTTTGGGTTGGAAGGGCCTTTAAGATGATCTAGTTCCAACCCCCTTGCTATAGGCAGAGACACATCCCAGTAGACCAGGTTGCTCAAAGCCCCATTCAGCCTGGATTGGTATACATCACACCACATTTGAATTAACTTGCCTTAGTTGATACAGCTCTACATAGCCACTTACAATGCTGTTCTCAGTGTAATACTTTTCATATAACTGTGCTTTTTTATCTTTTTCTTTTCTCCCCAGGGAAGGCCATAACAATCATGCTGAGATTCAATAAAGTTTTGCTATATAAGATTGTTTCACACATCCAAATCAGTGTTTGCGTACATAATAAAAAAAGCAGTATGAAAATAGGAGTCACAGATGACAATTTAGAGGGTTGTTGGTTTTTTTCTTCCCCTCAAAGACCTTTTCTTCCATTATAAAATAGTGAAGGTTTGTAATGAAAACAGTAAGACTGATGTAAGGAAGCATAGATGCAAAAGCATCAAAAAAAGAAACAGTGAGAAGTCAAGAAAGAGTGATAGATGTTGATGGCATCAAAGATCACAAATGACTCTTCAGACATCCATACAAAGTAAAAAAAAAAAAGATATAAAAAATATCAATAGTATCATTACAGCCTTCCTTCTAAGACAGTAAATTCCTCATCTCTGAGAAACACTGATATGCAAGAGACTGAACACCAGTAAAATAATCAAATTCCACCATATGTTAAGGACTCACTTCTGAAGGATGTACTAGAAGCATTTTATTAAAGCAGCTAAATGCAAGAAGATAGTTTAAAGATAAGTCTACTTTTAATATAATCTTCTCTAATTACTTATATAGACTCTGTTTTTTTTTTAAATGATGAAGTCGTCCTTCTGTACTGTTTCAAAACATTGCGAGCTAGCCCCAGGTAAGAAAATATGTTTAAAGTCATCCTAATAGAATAGACCAGACTTTTTGCACTTCTTTTTCCCATCTTGTTCAGGACCCAATTTAAGACAGCACTTAAGTTCAAGTTAAGCAATTAAGTTCAAGTTCAGCAATCACGTATGAGGCAATGGAAGTACGTGTTCAACGGGAGTACACTAAACCTTAAACAACATGTAACTAATTTATTTTCAACTTTTAAAAACAAACCCATAATCTTCACTTTATATAGTTTTGGAGCTTAGGTTTTTTTGCTCTGTAATTCTATTTTCTTTTTCTCCTTCTGAAGGCATGAAATGGTAAGATGGATTTATTTTAATGCAGTAGAAGACCTGAAAATACCTTCTTCCTTCAGTACATATTCCACACAGAACATAAAACTAAGGGAACACTGAAGATTCACTACTCCTGAACACATAAACTACGGTCAAGGAAGTACACAATGAAAAGATAAATGCATTTTATAAACTCCTTACCTCCTTTAATAAAACTTTCTTTGGGTCGCAAGCAAAAAAGAAAAATTGAGCAAAAAAAGGAACTAAGCCCTAAAACACGTGAAAAAGCCTCAGACTTGAACATTTTTTTTACTTCCTCTACTTCTTCTTTTTTTTTTTTTTTTAGAAGATTTAATGCTTGTAGACTTTGATGTGAAAACAGCCAAAGCCACCAAATTTAAAAAAAAAAAAAAAAAAAAAAAGAAGAAGAAGGAGACTACACTCCCAAATGGCTCTCTCAGCAAAGCTGGGAAAATTACTTCTCTATATTTCTGTTTATCAGCCTTAAAACTGCTTTGAGAAAACTCCTCTGCTAATTACATTTATAAAATACTTTGGTGTTTCTGAACAGGGAACATTACAGAATGCAAAAATATTATTGGAAATAACAAAAGAAATTACTGCCATCCTCAGAAACTATATGCTGAGAAATTGCCTGCTTGAGCAAACTACAATTTAAAAAAATAATATATCTCAATATTAAATGCCAAAAGAATAGAGGGCTAGTTAAAACTAGAGTAAAAAAAATTAGATTCTATGTTGAATAGTTTGTAGACTAAATTTTCAAGATTAAAGACTATAAAAAGTCATTATGAGTGCATTGAGACTCACAATGCAATAAAAATAATTCATGTATGAAATGTGAACCCTTGTAAATGATGTTGGCCTGCACAGTGCCCAGCTGCACAAAGCTCAGCAGGACAGTGCTTCTGCAGCTTGAAACACCAGCACTGCACTGGGAGCTCTGAAACATAGCAGGTTCAGGCCCTGAAAATGCAGTGTGAGCACCTGGCAGTTCTGGCATTTCCACATTTATTTTTAATCATCCTAATATGTATTCCAGTTATTTAAAGGATTTTAAAAGGCATGAACTTGATTAGTTTGCAGTTGCAATTAAAAACTTAAGAAGCTTGGGTTTATACATTGTGTGAATAATTCATAAATATTTGTTACATAGGATATGTTTACAAGATTATATTCTAAACATACACACTGCCTGAAGCTTCAGTTTTAGTAAACTTCTTCACTGGTTACGGTGTGTTGGCCCAGAGAACTCCCTGGGCTGGATCTCTGCTATTCCTGGAAGAGACAAGCAGCAGATATCTGCCAGATTTGCCAGATCTGAACAACTGGCACACTCATATTATATAAGCTGTAGTTACACTTCCATAGATTAACACCAACATACCTTTCCATACTTAATTTATATGCTGCTGCGCAAGACACTACTTTCACAATTTTAACCTCACAATAAACAAAGTTTACAGGACAACATAAAAGCAATAGGTAAAATTTTACGCAGTTTACTTCACTATCTGACCACTTCTAAAATACTTAAAAATAGTAAAATTACATCATACCACCATTGAGCATTTTTTCCTCTGTTAGTAATGAATAAATAAATGAAACTTTAATGAATGACATTTTCTGTTTTTCTTAAGTATTCCTGATCTGCAATAAGTAAGGATGTGAAGGAATTGCTGAAAAAGCTTAGAAAAAATTTCTAGGTTCCGTAAGTGAGTACTTTTACGATCACCTTCTATTGCAGTGAATACTTTTAGATCATTTTCTTGCCTAAAGGCATAGTTCCCATGAAATTGTGAACATTCTATTAAACATTACAAATGTCATCCTCTTGGCAGTGCATCTGATAGATTGTTATTCAGAGAAAGGAGCAGGCACTGCTGTTACATACTTTGTCATTTTCTTCATTCCTGTTACCATTTTTTGTGTCACATAACACTGTAAAAATTGCAAGGGGGAAAGAAAAGGTTCAAAGATGCATGGTAACTGTATGCAGCTTTCCAAGAAACTCTTCCCTATGAGGAAAATATACTCCTATTTCTCAAAAACAAACACACACCTTACTTATATCTTGAAGGGAAGGGAAGAAAAAACAACCCATCCACCTCAAAAACCCATCACCCTAAATTCTATCTTGCCAGGTAAAGGAGAAGCTTGCATATCCCTAATTTCTGACAACAAGATTCTGTCTTCTAGATGATCAAGCTAGCACAGTAATTAAAGTGATCAAAGTGATGCTTATACCTTCACAGTGAGACTAATACCTGCCAGTGAATAATACAAGACAGTTTCAGACAAATAGTTGCCTTTTAATAGGCATTCCCCACCCTAGTAAAATGTACTGTCTGAAACAGTACTGCTCTTTGCTAACAAGTGTCAAAATAGCCTGTATTTAAGCTGCATTTCAGCCGATGTGCAAGTTAGACACATGAAGTAGTTTCTACACACACTTCTAACTCACTGCTGTGGTAACTGCTTCAAAATTCTAAGGAAGCTCATACTGAATTCCTTGTTCCCTTTTCTTAATAAATTATGGATTGAGATAAGGCTTTAAGATGGTGATGTTCTGTGTTGTTTTGTCTTTTTTTTTTTTCCCCCCACATGGGTAACACACATGTTTACTTAGAACTGATAAGTAAAGTTATTTATTAAAATATTGAAAATACAGCTTTCATTTTTCAAATGATTAGCCCTTATACATCTCTCTTCATGTAACACCAGAATTATTCTCCTGAAAGAGAGAAAACTTCATTGTCTTCCTAACACACTTCCATGATAAGGCTTTGCTGCCTTTTCCAACTAAAAGCTTAAGCAAATATTCAGTGTATCTTATGACAAACTGGAAGAAACTCACTTCAGAATAGCTTTCAAATCTAGCATGTTTTCAGAGATAGTTGGGGAAGAACATTTTAAGGTTCCACATCCCAGCAGAACTGGAGGCAGTAGTTTTCCTGAGCACAGGAATCTCACTCTAGTGAAAAATTCAGAAAACATGACGTTATCTATATATGGACCAGCTGCAGTTTTTAAAGTTAAACAAAAAAGAAACACGTCAGACAGAAGAGCTGTTCGAGTTCCATTGTTTAAATAATGAGGAAGGTTGTGCAGCCAAATGACAATTCTTAGAGATTACTGCAGTCAGTTCTTTAATGTGTTATTGACTCAAGACGGTGTTGTGTATGTAAGA